TTTAAACATTTTATCACAAAGTGCAAGTCTTTCTTAATCTTAAACTTGATATATATCACAGGTGTTCGTGCATTGACTGGTCTCTACGCCCCCACCCCCTCCCCCCCCCCCCCCAAAAAAAAAAAAAAAGAAGAAAAAAGATTATCTACAGGGTGTTCACTAGCCATGAAATTCTGAGGGTCATTTTGGCTAAGTTTTACTGACTACAAGGCCAAATCCCCATAATTTTAACAAAATTTTGACCATTCAGTTAAAATCCTGAGGGTCAAATCAGGCCTTTTGGAAATTTGAAGGGTCAAAGAGTCATTTCAAGGGTCAAACATTGGAAATAAGCCTTCAGCTTTCAAGGGCAATCCTAGGTTATTGCACACTAACTTATACATGCTTCCACTTACGTCGTCACATATTAAACTGGTAAATTGATATCTTGTCATAGGAAAGAAAAAGTTTTAGATTTTGTTTTTAACCAGGTTTTCAATGAAAACCGGGTTAATGTAACGCTGAAGTCGGCTGGTTGGTGGGCGGGCGTCAACTTTTGGTTTCCGCTCAATAACTTCAGTTTGCTTTGGCCTATTCACACCAAACTTGGTGTGTAGGTAGCTTATATCAAGAGGCAGCTTGGGATTGCTACCCAGGTGTCTGTGATCAAGGTCAAGGTCACTGTTACTAAAAATAGAAATTCAGTTTCTGCTCAATAACTTCAGTTTGCTTTGGCCTATTGACACCAAACTTGGTGTATGGATAGCTTATATCAAGAGGCAGCTTGGGATTGCTACCCAGGTGTCTGTGATCAAGGTCAAGGTCACTGTTACTAAAAATAGAAATTCAGTTTCAGCCCAATAACTTTAGTTTGCTTTGGCCTATTGACACCAATCTTGGTGTATTGGTAGGTTATATCAAGAGGCAGCTTGGGATTGCTACCCAGGTGTCTGTGATCAAGGTCAAGGTCACTGTTACTAAAAATAGAAATTCAGTTTCTGCTCAATAACTTGAGTTTGCTTTGGCCTATTGACACCAAACTTGATGTATGGGTAGCTTATATCAAGAGGCAGCTTTGGATTGCTACCCAGGTGTCTGTGATCAAGGTTAATGTATTCAGTTTTCTCGAAATAACTTGAGTTTGCTTTGACCTTTTGACACCAAACTTGCAGTGTGGCAGCTTAGGATTGCCACTTAGATATCTGGGAGCAAGGTCAAGGTCATTTGCTTACAATAGAATTTTCAGCTTCTACTCAATAACTTTAGTGCACTTTGACCTATTGATTGCTGTCACTTCAAAACTTGGTCGTTGAAAACCTGGTTTTCCTCGCATTGCGGCGCTTCTTGTTTATATTTTATTATTTAATGAGCCATCTGTGATATTTATGTTTGACAAACTTCCAAAATATTTTATTACAATTGTGTCATCAGTTTTATATATAATGCTTAAGTATTTGTATTTATGTATATGTGTGTTTTAACCTGAATAAATATCTATCTATCTATCAAACAGACACCCTGATCTATTTGGTAAAGGTATGCAACTCGCCGCTCATTTTTCAGAAACTATAACCCCTTTTTTCCGATATGGTATATAAATAATTTTTTTTTAATTGTTATGCTTTTTAAAGGTACACCTGTGTATGTCTTATATAACTGGATATTAATGTTACTTTACAGTATTTTAGCTGAAAGCAGTAAAGAAATCAGAAGTTGTAAATCAAAATGGAGATAAATATTGATGATGCAAGCAAGAGAATTTCTGATATTCACCTGTCGAAGAGTTCAGGTACATTTTAGATGTCATACTGACATATTTTAAGGCCAATTAAAAACTATTTATTTGCAAATCATTTACTCCATCAGTAAAGCTGGAAAGTTACCATATAACCCATACAGTGGTGGTACAATGTAAAACCTGATTATGAATATAGGATCAAAGATAGACATCCATAATGTTAATAAATGTTTTTATATCTTTGTAATTACATGTATATGGTAAGAAAACCAAGTTAGACTTTTTAGATAAAATGGGTACAACTGAATGTAAACCACTGTGCCATATTTATTTTTCACTGTACCACAGTATATTTTTGTACCGCTAAACTGTTACAGCCCTAACATTGAGAGCAGTAAAATAAATCATGTATTCATGTTTATTAGGTGAGAACAAAGAAAACGATGATCCTGATGAGGTAGATCAACAAAAGTTTAATGAATTAGTGATGAAAGCAAAGAAGCTTATAGGTGAAGGAAATATTGAAGATGCATTGAAATTGAATAAGAAGGCTCTTGTTATCTGTTACAGTGAAAAATTGGCAAAGAAAATCAAGAAAATGGAGGTGATTCTATTTTGTTTTATAATTTACAAAATGGAAGTGGTTCTTTTTTGTGAAATACCACTTCCAAAGCAAACACAAAAGGCTGAATATGTGTTTGTTTTAAAGAAAAAAAGTTTTGATATGTTCCTGTTTTAAGAACCAAGAAAAGTAATGGTATTTAGATTACCACAGTAGATAGAGCTATATGTATATTGGCATCAAACTTTTTGTTGTTTTGAGTCCTGGGTACTAGCTTACTTTCCAAGCTGATTAGGTAAACCTCTGTATGTCTGTAACTGATATTTCTCTAAATAATTTAAAAAGAAAAAAAATTTGGAAAACATGGATTAGTATTTGTGTATATCTTTAGAAGTTATTTGATTTTTATTGTTGTAAATTTAGGATTATATAAAGGCCCATGCTGATGATTCTGATGAAGATGATGAGCATAACGGGATGTTACATCTAGGTAAAGGTTTTTACCTGTACCGTGATCTCTATAACAATCTATATGCTCACCAGCAGGAGGGTGTTCTATGGCTCTGGTCATTGTTCAGAAGGAAAAAAGGCGGGATTCTTGGAGATGACATGGGGTATGTGTTATTATTGAAAATATGCAGTGATTATTTTCAGCATTTTTGGAATGATGGTAGGTCCCCTTTGAGGGGAAAATTGCATAACATTAACTGTCATACAACAACAACAATTGATTATTACTTTCATTTAAGGATTTGGTTGTAAGTAAAAGCATGCTTGCAGTTGCTATTGTTGAAAACCTGGTTTCGTTGCATTGACATGTTGCAACTTTGTTCTGGGAAGACAAAATAAAGAAGCCTAACTGCAGGTTTCAAATATACATGTACATGTTTTATGTTTGATGAAGTATAACCTTTTTTAGCTCACCTGTCACAAAGTGACAGGGTGAGCTTTTGTGATCGCTTTTCGTCCGGCGTCCGTCCGTCGTCCGTCCGTAAACTTCTACTTTAAATGACATCTCCTCATAAACCACTAAGCCAATTTCATCCAAACTTCACAGGAATGTTCCTTTGGTGGTCACCTTTAAAAATTGTTCAAAGAATTTAATTCCATGCAGAACTCTGGTTGCCATGGCAACCAAAAGAAAAAGCTTTAAATATCTTCTTTTAAAAAACTGAAAGAGCTAGAGCTTAGATATTTGGCATGAAACATCTTCTAGTGAGTGTCTACCAAGTTTGTTCAAATAAAAGCCCTGGGGTCAAAATTAGCTCCACCCCAGGGGGTCATTGATTTTCCCTATATGCATATAGTAAAAACTTAAAAATCTTCTTTTAAAGAACCAAAAGAGCTAGAGCAAAGATATTTAGCATGAAACATCTTCTAATGGGTGTCTACCAAGTTTGTTCAAATAAAAGCCCTGGGGTCAAAATTGGCCCCGCCCCTGGGGGTCATTGATTTTCCCTATATGTATATAGTAAAAACTTAAAAAATCTTCTTTTAAAGAACTCAAAGAGCTAGAGCTTAGATATTAAGCATGAAACATCTTCTAATGGGTGTCTACCAAGTTTGTTCAAATAAAAGCCCTGGGGTCAAAATTGGCCCTGCCCCGGGGGTCATTGATTTTCCCTATATGTATATAGTAAAAACTTAAAAAATCTTCTTTTAAAGAACTCAAAGAGCTAGAGCTAAGATATTTAGCATGAAACATGTTCTAATGGGTGTCTACCAAGTTTGTTCAAATAAGAGCCCTGGGGTCAAAATTGGCCCCGCCCGGGGGTCATTGATTTTCCTTATATATGTGTATAGCAAAAACTTAAAAAGTATTCTTTGAAAAAACCTAAATAGTTAGAGGTAAGATATTAAGCATGAAACATCTTCTAGTGAGTGTCTACAAAGTTTGTTCAAATAAAAGCCCTGGGGTCAAAATTGGCCCTGCCCCGGGGGTCATTGATTTTCCTTATATGTGTATAGGAAAAACTTAAAAACATCTTTGAAAAAAAAACCAAATAGCTAGTTTAGATATTAAGCATGAAACATGCTCTAATGGGTGTCTACCAATTTTGTTTAAATAAAAGCCCTGGGGTCAAAATTGGCCCCGCCCCGGGGGTCATTGATTTTCCCTATATGTATATAGTAAAAACTTAAAAAATCTTCTTTTAAAAAACCCATTGAGCTACAGCTTAGATGTTTAGCATGAAACATCTTCTTATGGGTGTCTACCAAGTTTGTTCAAATAAAAGCCCTTGGGTTAAAATTGGCCCTGCCGGGAGTAGGGGAGGGCAGATCATTGTTTTTCATTATAAGTGTGTACATCATTAAACATCTTCTTATAGGTGTCTTCCAAGTTTGTTCAAATAAAAGCCCTGGGGTTTAAACTGGCCCCGCTCCAAGGGCCTACATACAGGTGAGTGACCTCGGGGCCATCATGGCCCTCTTGTTTGGGGAATGGCAGAGGGAAGACAAGGCACATTAGTTACGTATTAGTATTATTCTCATGACAGGGTAGACAGAAATGGAAGGTAGATTATTTTTATACACTTGCTAGAAAGTGTTATGAAATCTTCGGAGTAATTTGGTACTCCATCAGAATAATGACCAAATACTTTTAGCCATCCCTTATTTATAGTGACAATCTATAGTGTACTCTGTTTTCAGAAAACTGTATTTTATAGTTTTGTGATACGTATTTTTCAGGCTGGGAAAAACAATTCAAATAATAAGTTTCCTATCAGGGATGTTTGACATGCAGAAGGTGAAGTCTGTTCTTATAGTGCTACCTGTAGCTGTCATGGTGAACTGGGAAAAAGAATTCCAGAAATGGTAAATAAATACTAAATATAGAGTTGTCATCTATAGAAATGACATTGATGTAATGTCAATGTATTTTTTGTTGATCAATATAAATCAATACAGATTTGAAAAAAACAAAACAATAATTTTGACATATATAGACTGTCCAGAAATAATGAAATTTCACACAAAACATTTACAGATGCAGATGACCAGACCAGTCAAAACTACATGTCTAAATACTTTGGTTATGTATTAAGGGATTTAGTGTCTTAATGAAAAATCAAAGCTTTGAGGGTTACATTTTAGCAAATTTTCTCTATTTTTACAATGATTTGGTTTTCAATATATCAATATCTAATATTCTTGTACAATGTATCTGCTATTTTTTAGGGCACCAGGTCTAAAAGTTGTTGCTTACCATGGTAACAGCAAAAGAGAAAAGGAAAGGGCCCTAGCTCGTGTCCAGAGGCGAGGTGGAGTGTGTTTGACTACATATGGTCTAGTAGTGACAAGCTGGGAGCAAATAGGGCAACAAGATGGCAGAGAATTTGTATGGGTATGTGTTGTAAAATATTCTAAAATAATAGATAGTTGAGAAGTTGGTATTGCTTTTTTTTAATCATTAAGTATGCTTGCTGAGAAATCTGATTATGGGAACAAGTAACATACAGTATTTTGTTAACGGGACTTTGTAGATGAGCTGCCAAATCAAATAACATTTTGAATCACTTGTCCCATAGTTTTGTATGTTTGAAGTCTGGAAGTCTTTCATTTAGGTATTGATTCATCAGATGGATTGTATTATGGTTGCTTATGGTCAGGGTGCATGAAATTACATCTTGTCATTGATTTGGCACCAGTTTTGTTAAAGTCCTGAACGTATGTGTCAACATGGTGGATTTTGTTTCTCTCAACATTGCAAATGTCTTGTATTGACATATTTTCATCAGCATACTGGTTTATAGTGTATTTTTAACTTGAACTTTATTGCATAGCATTTCAATCATGATCACCCAAGGGTATATTTCTCAAGCTAAAGATTTGGGCATTTTAACCCAACTAATTTTACCATGTGACCTGTGCAGACCAAGACCAGCCTTCACATCTGTGCTGTTTGATGGTGGTCTGTACTGTTCGCTATTCAGTCATTACATATTTTGAAATATTCTCTAAAAATGATAAACTATTTTACCCATGATTGAAAGATGGACAAGTCTAATGAAGATAATAAGCATAGTAATGGTTAATGATATACAATGATGACTGATGCTTTCTGTTACAGGATTACATGATACTGGACGAAGGACATAAAATAAAGAACCCTACGAAGACAAGTAAAGGTGTACATGCTATACCTGCCCATAATCGGATCATTCTCACCGGAACACCTGTTCAAAATAATCTCAAAGTAAGTGTTTGTGATCATGAAATACTAATATGTTCTATGAAAATTAAAAGTGGTCTCTGGGAAAATCATCAGTGTTTTAAGGAGGATAAGACCAATTCTGTCATTCGTAGAACATATTAGTATTTTATGATCACAAAATTAATTATGATTGATCAAATACAGTAACATTTATTTATTGAACAAATTTGCCTTACCTTGACTTTGAAATGATTCATTGTCAGTTCAAGAGAATATCCGTATCAAAAATTGACTTAATGTAATGAACCTATGACAGTTATCTAGTTTGTTGTGCAGAGTACAGGTTTTGTCTAGGTTAGAGCTCAATGTGAGGCAAAACAATGGTATTATTTAAGTAAATTTGCTTTATAAAGAACATAAATTTTTCTTTCATACAGATATATTTAAACTATTCTTTTTCAAAATTGAAACGGTGATTTTGTATACTTTAGGCGGCAGATACATAGCTTTATACACTTTAAATCTCAATATATGAATGTAAATGTCAAAGAGATTTATTATTTTGAGATATGTATAATATTGTGTTTGTATATTATTATTTTCTCAGGCATGGAAGTAAATTATTCTTTATAATTTATTTTGAGATTGGTGATAAAACTTTAGACCAAAGTAAACTGAATAAAAAGTTGTTAAGTTAATTTATGTTCAACTTTCAGGAGTTGTGGTCACTTTTTGATTTCGTTCATCAAGGATCTTTGCTTGGCTTACAGAAAACATTTAAAATGGAATTTGAAAATCCTATAACAAGAGTATGTATATTATATTATTTCAATATTCAATACAGCAAACTTCCATTGATAGAGAAAAAAAAGAAGAAATAACCTAATAAATTAACACATCACAATTGTACAATGAAAAGCAATATTACAAATGTGCAATATTTTGATAGCATTTATGTCACAGTATTCATAAAGATAAGCATGAATCAGTAAGTATGTTGCTTCAAGCACAATTAAAGACGTTTTTCCCTCTTTCACTGCTTATATAATAATGTTATGATCATAGGCTAGAGAAAAAGATGCTACTGTAGGTGAGAAGAAGTTAGGACTGGAAATGGCAGAAAGTTTGAAGAAGATTATAGCTCCATATTTCCTCAGGAGAACAAAGGCCGAGGTGAAAGAAAGAGAGAAAGCTTCTAAAGACGAGCCAGACTCTGGTGTCACCCATGCTGTGTAAGTAATTTATATGAATTCATTTCTGTCCAAAATAGTTTTGATATATTTGATGATAGTTATGCCTTTGTATGTAGGATTTTCAATATTCAAGTCCTAGGGACAGTATATGTATTTCCAGCATATTTAAGTTATAGGGGCATCTGTGGCTAAGTGGTTGAGGTTCAGCTACTTGCCCATCACAGCTGTGGGTTCAATACCCACCATTGACTTCTTTCATGTGGTTTTGGTTTTTATGACATACAACAAAGAATGTTTTCTAAGTTTATAGGTGGCCCAAAATGGGTTTTTTGACTGCAGGCGCCTCCTTATGACAACCTTTCTAACCTCAAACAAATTATAAATGCCTAAATGTTTGTTGTTCCAGCATGCCAACAATGACGAGGAAGAATGATTTAATTGTATGGACGTTCCTGCGAGACACACAACTGAAAATATATCAAGACTTTCTCTCTCTAGATTCAGTTAAAGAGGTAAGGCATATTTGATTGAATATTGGATAGTATTTATTATGGTTTTGGGGCACTCATTTCACTTTTTTTTTTGGCCGAAATTCAGCCTAAATTCTCTCCCTATTCATATTCTCCGTCAGTAATTTTGAGTCTTGTTATTAAAGGGACACTACTGAGGTGTGTTGACATGATGGGACAAGAAATAATTTTTATGCCCCCACAATGTGGGAGCATATAGCGTTGCACTTGTCCGTCCGTCAGTCCGTCCGTCTGTACGTCCCGAAATCTTGTGAACGCAACTCCTCTAAAACCGGATGGCAGATTTTGCTTAAACTTACAGGGATGAACAACCTTAATGTGTAGATGGTAGTAAAGGAAGGAATTTTCGCTGTGACCAAATTTAACAGAATTATGGCCCTTTGTTGATTTTTTCACTATATACTATGTAGAAATTTTGTGAATGCAACTCCTCTTAAACCGGATGGCAGATTTTGCTTAAACTTACAGGGATGAATAACCTTAATGTGTAGATGGCAGTAAAGGAAGGAATTTTCGCTGCGACCAAATTTAACAGAATTATGGCCCTTTGTTGATTTTTTATACGCCCGTTTGAAAAAACGTATTATGGAACGCCCCTGGTGGGCGGGCGGCGTCCAATTTTGTCCGGAGCATATCTCCTACATGTATGGAGGGATTTTAATGAAACTTCATAGAAATGTTCACCACTATGAGGAGCAGTGTCGCGCACATGAACCAGGTCTCTAGGTCGAAGGTCAAGGTCACACTTAGAGCTCATTGAAAAATGCTTGTCCGGAGCAAAACTTCCACATGTATAGAGGGATTTCAATATAACTTGGCACAAATGTTCACCATTGTGAGGCGGAGTGTCGCGCGCAAGATTCAGGTCCTTGCGGCCAAGGTCAAGGTCACACATAGAGGTCAAAGTTCAGATAAAAATTTGAAGATGTGTATATGGACCATTTAGTCATCATTTATTGAGGGATTGTAACACAAATGGTCATTATCAAGACTATGGCTGTGATACATATAATTTAGGTCAATATATACAAGGTCAAGGTCACTAAAGATGATGAAATATCCAGATTTTGTCCGGAGCATATCTCCTACATGTATGGAGGGATTTTAATGAAACTTCATAGAAATGTTCACTACTATGAGGAGCAGTGTCGCGCACATGAACCAGGTCTCTAGGTCAAAGGTCAAGGTCACACTTAGAGCTCATTGAAAAATGCTTGTTCGGAGCAAAACTTCCACATGTATAGAGGGATTTCAATATTACTTGGCACAAATGTTCACCATAGTGAGGTGGAGTGTCGAGCGCAAGATTCAGGTCCTTGCGGCCAAGGTCAAGGTCACATATAGAGGTCAAAGTTCAGATAAAAATATGAAGATGTGTATATGGACCATTTAGTCATCATTTATGAGGGATTGTAACACAAATGGTCATTATCAAGACTATGGCTGTGATACATATAATTTAGGTCAATATATACAAGGTCAAGGTCACTAAAGATGATGAAATATCCAGATTTTGTCCGGAGCATATCTCCTACACGCATGGAGGGATTTTAATGAAACTTCATAGAAATGTTCACCATTATGAGAAGCCATGTCACGCACATGAACTAGGTCTCTAGGTCAAAGGTCAAGGTCACACTTAGAGCTCATTTGAAAAATGCTTGTCTGGAGCAAAACTTCCACATGCATAGAGGGATTTCAATATAACTTGGCACAAATGTTCACCATTATGAGGCGGAGTGTCGCGCACAAAATTCTGGTCCCTGCAGCCAAGGTCAAGGTCACACATAGAGGTCAAAGTTTAGATAAAAATATGAAGATGTGTATAGGGACGATTTAATCATCATTTATTGAGGGATTGTAACACAAATGGTCATTATCATGACTACGGCTATGACACATGTACTTTAGGTCAATATATGCAAGGTCAAGGTCACGAAAGATGGTGAAATATCCAGATTTTGTCTGGAGCATATCTCCTACATGTATGGAAGAATTTTTATAATACTTTATGGAAATGTTCACCACCATGATATGTATTGCTCCATGCATGATCCAGGTCTCCAGGTCAAAGGTCAAGGTCACACTTAGAGCTCATTGAAAAACGCTTGTGGGGAGCAAAACTTCTACATTCATAGGGGGATTTCAATATAACTTGGCACAAATGTTCACCATTGTGAGGATGAGTGTCGCACGCAAAATTCAGATCCCTGCGACTAAAGTCAAGGTTACACATAGAGGTCAAAGTTCAGATAAAAATTTGAAGATGTGTATAGGGACCATTTAGTCATCATTTATTGATGGATTGTAGCACAAATGGTAACTATCATGACAACAGGTTTGACACATTTAATTTAAGTTAATATTTGCAAGGTCAAGGTCACTGGAGATGATTAAATATCCAGATGTTGTCCGGAGCATATTTTCTACATGCATGGAGGAATTTTAATGTTACTTTATAGAATTGTTCACCACCATGAGACGTAGTGCCCTGCACATGAACCAAGTCTCTAGGTCAAAGGTGAAGGTCACAGTTAGAGCTCATAGCAAAACGCTTGTCTGGAGCAAAACTTCTACATACATAGAGGGATTTCAATATAATTTGGCACAGATGTTCATCATTGTGAGGCTGAGTGCCGTGCATAAAATTCAGGTCCCTGCGACCAAGGTCAAGGTCACACATCCTGTGCATATCTTCCCTACTGATTTGTTTTAAGGTTCATTTAACAACACAGTGCCAAGGATAAAAACTTGCTTGATAGATAACACTTATCCATAATGCCCCCATCTCCATCTAAAGCTTTCGTAAACGGGCGTATTTTGTGACTATGGCACCCTTGTTCACTATATACTATGTAGAAATTTTGTGAACGCAACTCCTCTTAAACCGGATGGCAGATTTTGCTTAACAGAGCAACAGATAAGGTGCGTATTTGCGTATTTACGCAATTAATTTTATAAAATACGCAATTGATTTTTTAAGAATGCGTATCAAAACCCATTAAAAAAATTAAATACGCAATTGTCTTAAAAACCCGTGCGTATTGTCATTTTCATCACTGCAAAATTAATCTGTCGTACACTCGTAGTTTTGGACAAATTATATCGATATGCATAATATCCGAATATTCCCGAATCAATGCCAACTAATCAACAGTCTCCGGTCTTTGACGGTTCCTGGTCTCCAAAGACCGACTAAGCATCATGAGACTGTCGATTTGTCTACTCAGGTTGACGGTCTTTACAGACCGGCAGAGACCGTTGATTTTGCGGAGACCGTCAATAAGTAGGTCCCAGCTGTAACAATAGACCCTTTGAAACGCAATATGGCGTCGTACAAAAGGGAAAATGAGTCGCAAATAATAAAAAATCAGTCAGAAAATTAACTTGTTAAAAATATTATGGAATATAACATGAGCATTTTATATAAAAAATAAAACAATTGTGAAAAGTTCTAGTAAATTGTAAAATCCTATTTTCTTTTTAAAACAGTTAAGATATCTAAATTTAATTTTATTGATATTGAAACCATAAAATTCATATCTTCATAATTGAATACCCAATTGATCTTGAAATCATAGGGTATCGAGTTTTTGAATACCCAATTAAATGGAGCCAATACCCAATTCCAAAGGAAATGATGGAGTAATACCCAATTCACTTTTAAAGCTTATCTGTTGCTCTGGCTTAAACTTAAAGGGATGAACAACCTTAAGGTGTAGATGGTAGTAAAGGAAGGAATTTTTGCTGCGACCAAATTTTACAGAATTATGGCCCTTTGTTGATTTTTTCACTATATACTATGTAGAAATTTTGTGAACGCAACTCCTCTTAAACCGGATGGCAGATTTTGCTTAAACTTCCAGGGATTAACAACCTTAATGTGTAGATGGTAGTAAAGGAAGGAATTTTTGCTGCGACCAAATTTAACAGAATTATGTTTTTTTGTTTTCTTTGTTGATTTTTAGTTTTCAACTTGTGGCACATGTAGTCCAAAAAATATTTGACCTAGAGTCATAAGATTGACAGAACAGTGGCGTGTGGGGGCATCCGTGTCCTATGGACACATTTCTAGTTTAATTTGTAATTAATGTTCATTTGATGTAGGTCTAGACTAATAACTTGTGTGAAAAATGTCAGATCATTTGCTCACTCTTTTTAACAAGAATTATTATTCTAATTGTGAAATATAACCCAAATTTGAAAAACTAAACAAGAAATGCTTCTCAGATCAAAATCATATGGTTTAAAGATTTTGTGTATTGAATAAAATTTTATTATTCCAGTTGCTGATGACAACAAAATCACCACTAGTTGCTCTGAATGTCTTGAAAAAAATCTGTGATCATCCACGACTGTTGTCTACCAGAGCCTGTGCTCAACTTGGTATACAAGATGAAGGGTAAGTGTACATTCGTTGTCAACTAAGTTTTGTGCTCAGTTCTGTAAACAGAGTTAATGGGTAAGTGTACATTTGTTGTCAACTAAGGTTTGTGCTCAGCTAAGTTTATGTGGAGATGGGGGATAAGTGTACTTTTGTTGTCAACTAAGTCTTATGCACAGCTTAGTGTATGTGGAGGTAAAGGGTAAGTGTACATTTGTTGTCAACTTAGTCTTGTGTTCAGTTAGGTAAACCTGGAAATGAAATAAAAATGTATATTTGTTGTCAACATAGTCTTGTGCTCAGTTCAGTAAATGTGGAGATAAAGAGTTAGTGTACATTTGTTGTAAATCTTAGTCTTGAACTTAGAGATGTTAACTAAGTTTTTATGCTCAGTGCAGCATACATGTAGGATAGGTAAAAGTACATTTGTTGTCAACTAAATCTTGTTAGCTTTTGTCAGCTTTGTGTACAGGGACTTCCGCCCGTGTCAGTTATATGTCTAAATGACAAGTAAATGTACATTTGTTTACAACTTAGCCATGTGCTCAGTTTTGTATATAGGGAAATGAAGGGTTAGTGTTAACATTTGTTGTCAACTTAGCATTGTGTTCAATTTGGTACACTGGGAAAAGATGAATAAGGATATCATAGTCAGATTGTTGAACTATTTTTTATCTTTATAATGTTTAATTGACAACATGTTTAAAAATGTGTCATTTTATTAATAGAGCTAGAAGGGATTATTCCAAATTTAATAAATATGGTTTACATAAGTTCAAAGTCAATTTGGTCTCTATTGTTTAATAATGGCATTAACTTTGCTTTTCATACATATGATCTTTATTCATATTATGAAAACTCACTGTGGCTGTTACTTCCTTTTCCTGGCAAAGGCTTGTACTGTTTGATACTTAAATCCAGAGTGAATATTCCTATGTTCAAGAATTCTAACATTAGCAAATCCTTGTTCACGTAATATATCAGCATAATCTTGAATTGAAATTCCTTTATTCTTTACCTTCGGTACGTCATCTTGACGTTTCTGCTGCTTTTTTGTTAGAACTGGCTTATAGTCATGAATACACGTGAGGAACAGACATCCAGGTCGTAGGACACGATAAATCTCACATGCGGCTGTTTTAATATCATTCCAGTAATAGAAACCATTCACGTTATAAACACAATCAAACATATTATGAAGGTACGATAAAGATTCCGGTGCACAAAGGTCAAGTTCTAGAGTTCCGGTTTCAATATCTTCATGTAGCTTTTTGGTCACTTCTTCTAGATGTTTTTCAGATGTTTCTGTACCCATTACCCTCCCTGGACCACCTGTAGTAAATTTTAATTTAAAAGTTATTTCTTCTGAGCAAGCAAAAATTATAATTTAAAACTTTGTATCTTTAATGTTATTTTCTTTATACAAAAGGTAGGTATCTTAAAGTGTTTTCTTTATGAAAAAGGGTATGTTTCAATTATACAGATTCTGGTTGTTTTCTTGGATTTACATATTGAAAATACATATGAAATTTGAAATTAAGACTCCAAAAGTTTTCTCATTTAAATCAAGATGAATTCACTTAGAATAGTTTTAGTGAAAATAGATGTCAAGTACAGGTGATATCATACCTGTATTGTATGCTGGTATATACCAGACAAGGTGCTTGAATGATTAAATTCTAAAATCTTGCCTTTTCACCCAATGGAATGAACTTTAAAACGTCTAATTCATCTCTTCACACTGATTTATATATACAATACGATAATGAATGAAAAATGTAAGAATCAGGGAAAAAATTAATTTTTTTCTACTATGTGATAATAATTTCTGCAAGTGTCTTATGGATATTCTCCAACACTGAAGTAAGTTAAAATTGTTTGTTATATGTACTTACTTGTTTATAAAATGTTTTTTCGGCTCATTCTGGTTTTGTTGGTGTTTTTTACAAATAAATAGTCAAAGGGTACAAGTGTGATTAGTTAGTTATTCAAATACTTCAAGTTTTGTAAAAGAATCACTAAAAGGTTAAAGGTTTAATCATATGATAGCAGGACCCTCCCCCCCCCACTGACTCCTCCTACTTCCCCTACCTCCTACTTCCCCACTAAATACTGTCGTGAATGAGTCTTTGTAAAGAAGCCATCCTTTATTTATTGTATACACATTGGTGCCAACTTGTGCTTGAAATTGTTCAACAAAAATAGCTGGTATGTCATAACTGTATCTTGACATGGGGAATTTTATGTAAAGAGTAACTGAGTATATTATTGGTGAAATGAGAGATTAAAAATGATTTTTCAGTTGCATAATGATAAGTAAAGAACGTTCAAGTTACCATTGAGAAGCTCCAGTACAACCTGTAGTCCATGTCCTTTATAAAACCCAATCTCGAGGACAAAATAATTGGGTTTTATATCACATTGTCTAGCGGTACTCTCGTGGAATTGAGCAAGCGGGTCTATCTCTTCTTCTTTCTCTGTCTGAAATAATAAAACCAGGCATGTTTACTTATTATTTTGTAACAATTTGTGACATCAAATTTGGAAACTGGTAACCATAATTGATCAAAAATTGTAAATTTACTGAGTTAATAAGTGTTATATTTCCATGATTCTATGATTTTCTTTAAAGATCTTAGGACCTCTATTTGGTGATATTAATTATTAAAAGGGTATTTTATTCTGATTTGAAACTTTTCAATAAACCAATCCAATTATATATTTAATATTGATTTTTTTTTGGTGGAGATGAGATTAGGGATGTGAATGGGAGTTGTATGCTGGATAAGTAAAGTACATGTTTGATAAAGGCATAATGTAAATAAACCTAAAGTAATATCTGCCTTTTATTCTGTATCTTTATTCATGGAAACGAGAGTTGTGTAATTAAAACATAATTTACTTACAGAGTTGCAACATCCCATTTTCTCATGTGAAAAACAAATTTGAATTTGAACAACTATTCAGATATTAATAACAGTTTTGTTTCCATTATATATCTAAAACTTACAATGCAATCATGTATTATCTATTTTAGCATGGCAGTAGTATTAAAGAAAAGTACAACCAAACTGTCAGTGTAAAAACAAAAAAAACAATAGAGTTAGTCATGGTTGACTTATCATGAAATTATGTGCTTTAATATAGTGTAGGGGTAGTACAAGTTATGGACTTTGCTGTAATTGATTTTGTTTAAATTGGACAAATTTGAAAATTGATTTACAGACAAATCTTATGTCAGGCAAATGTAAATTTCACTCTAAGACAATCTGAATGTCAGGCAAATCTGATTAAATCACATACATCCTTTATAATACTACGGACACCCTGCTATCACAATCTTTATTTCTCTTCTGAAGAGAACTTGAATATTACTCTCTGTTTACAATAACTGATTTTACACTTGGCATCACATAGTCACTTATGTGTGCGACCAGAACTAATAACAGATAAACAACATGATAAACAACATGATAATTTGACAATTATACTTTTATTAAGGTACTTCATAACCTTGTGGCGGAAATTTTGGCTGCAGACGGGCAAAACCCATAAATTTTATCCAGTCCCGGGGGAGACTACTAACTGCCTTGTTACACTGGCAAGTCAGTGACCCAGGTTTACAACCTGGTGTCAGTCCCAAAAGTTGAACACGCTTAAGTGGACAGGTGTTAGCGGGCTGCCAAGATTACATCTGACTCCTGAGCAACGAGGGTCCCGGACGTAGCCCTGCCCTGGGCCTCCCCTCCATACGTAGAGGTGGAGGGGGGTGCCAACGTAACCCTGGAGTGCACCCCACCATAATACATAAAACTAATACATACAATGAACCTGCATGCTTTCAAGCAAGTCAGGCCAGGAGAAAGAGCCAGACAGTACCCGTAACCCCCTTTTTCGTCTCCCCGGGCCGCTCCCCCAGATCGAAAATTGTACCCTTCTCTGCGCCTGTGATTTAACTGCAAAACAAACTGCAAGAAATTTATTTATAGTAGTCCTAATAAATTCCTATACTGTTAATAACTTTGACATATATCGCTGTCTGTTTTTTTTTTTTGTTTTTTTTTTTAAAGGCAACATTATGAAACACGTAGATGTAGAGCGTTAATGTAACCACTGTAAAGATGAAGTTCACTTCCTGAGTTCCAAGGAGTAATTTGACTTTTACTCTGAACTTGAATGTTAACTAGCCTTACTAGAACTGGAACTTGTATGACTAAATTGAGTTGAAGAAATCCCTTCCATATGTTTGTAAAAATTATCACTATTGTAAAGTATTAATTATTAGGATGTATTGTTCTCCAGTCTGTACTGAGCACACAGGTATGTTAACAAGATCCTTTGTACAAACAGTTTCAGTGCACACAAAAATCCTGATGGCACAAAACTCCGAAACCAGATTCTAAACCAATATCCAGATGAGGTTGGAGGTTCTCTGGAAGCTGGCTGCTGTAAGACTGTTAAGAAAAAGAGTCCCTGAAAGAGAAAGAAAAGGCGGCAGAAATTGTTCTCATAAAGGGGAGGGCGGGCGGGTGCGTTTTTGAAGGACACTCTGTTTCGGAAAGTTCCCGGATAATGATTCGCCTCCTTTGAAGAGTATCTTAGTATGTCTAAATTCCGTACTTTACTTTACCGGATTAAACTGCACCTACCCACCCGTTAGATGATGTGTTTAAGAAGGATTATCGAATACGAGATTCTGGATAATCCCTATTAAATCACATACATCCTTTATAATACTACGGACACCCTGCTATCACAATCTTTATTTCTCTTCTGAAGAGAACTTGAATATTACTCTCTGTTTACAATAACTGATTTTACACTTGGCATCACATAGTCACTTATGTGTGCGACCAGAACTAATAACAGATAAACAACATGATAATTTGACAATTATACTTTTATTAAGGTACTTCATAACCTTGTGGCGGAAATTTTGGCTGCAGACGGGCAAAACCCATAAATTTTATCCAGTCCCGGGGGAGACTACTAACTGCCTTGTTACACTGGCAAGTCAGTGACCCAGGTTTACAACCTGGTGTCAGTCCCAAAAGTTGAACACGCTTAAGTGGACAGGTGTTAGCGGGCTGCCAAGATTACATCTGACTCCTGAGCAACGAGGGTCCCGGACGTAGCCCTGCCCTGGGCCTCCCCTCCATACGTAGAGGTGGAGGGGGGTGCCAACGTAACCCTGGAGTGCACCCCACCATAATACATAAAACTAATACATACAATGAACCTGCATGCTTTCAAGCAAGTCAGGCCAGGAGAAAGAGCCAGACAGTACCCGTAACCCCCTTTTTCGTCTCCCCGGGCCGCCACAGAAAATAACATTTTTTCTTCCATTATAAAATTTATACATAAACAATATTGTAAACATGTTTTGGAATAGGATTACTTATATACATTTTAAGATAAATGAACAGTATACATTTTAAGATAAATGAATGTAACAGTTTTTGATATTCATTTCAGTCATAACATGTAATGACATTCACAGCTTTTATGATGTCTATAGGGTGGCTGTTGGTAATGTTAGTAAAGAATTGTCTGGTGTACTGTTAATCAGAGACTGCAAAGCTGTCTTCCAGTTGTTGATAAGAATGGAATTACCCAAGCTTGACAAGTGTGTTCCATCAGTATGGAATAAGTTTACCTCCTTAGCAGAAATATTGTTATTGTCAATGTATTGACCTCCATTTTTGTGTCGCCTTGAAAAGGTGACATATAGGGGTTACTTTCGTCGGCGGTGTCGGCGGCGTCTGTGTCGGCGTCGTTGTCGGCGTCGTTGTCGGCGTCGTCGTCGGCGTCCCCTAAAGCTTGTCCGGAGCATAACTCAGTCACTATAAGTCTGATTGACTTCAAACTTGGTATGCATGCTTCTTTCAATAACCCGAAGTGCAGTGCACAAGGACCGGTACTCTGCAGTTCTTATTTTTTGAGTTATTGCCCTTTGTTAATTTTCACACTTTAATTTTGTCCGGGCCATTTCTCTTCAACTAAAAAAGCTATGGACTTGAAACTTCATAGGATGATAGATCTCATTAAGAAGAAGTGCAGTGCATAAGAACCGGTACTCTGCACTTCCTAATTTTTGAGTTATTGCCCTTTGTTAATTTTCATACTTTATTTTTGTCCAGGCCATTTCTCCTAATGTATAAAAGCCATGGACTTGAAACTTCATAGGATGATAGGTCTCATTAAGAAGTAGTGCAGTGTACAAGAACAGGTACTCTGCATTTCTTATTTTTTGAGTTATTGCCCTTTGTTTATTTTCATACTTTAATTTTGTCCGGGCCATTTCTCCTTAAGTATAACAGCTATGGACTTGAAACTTCATAGGATGATAGATCTCATTAAGAAGACGTGCAGTGCACAAGAACCGGTACTCTGCATTTCTTATTTTTTGAGTTATGGTCCTTTGTTAATTTTCATACTTAATTTTTGTCCAGGCCATTTCTCCGAAAGTATACAAATTATGGACTTGAAACTTCATAGGATGATAGATCTCATTAAGAAAAAGTGCAGTGCATAAGAATTGATACTCTGCATTTCTTATTTTTTGAGTTATTGCCCTTTGTTGATTTTCTTACTTTATTTTTGTCCTGGTCAATTCTCCTCAAGTATGAAAGCTATGGACTTGAAACATCATAGAATGATAGATCTTATTGATAAAAAGTGCAGTGCACAGAAACTGCTGCTCTGCACTTATTATTTTTTTAGTTATTGCCTTTTGTTATTTTTCATACTTCATTTTTGTTCGGGCCATTTCTCCTAATCTACATTGTTCACAAGGCGACACATCCGACTCGCGGAGTTCTAGTTAAGAATAAAGGATTTGATTGCAATATTCACTCTTGTTCGTTTTTTTTCTATTTTCTTTCCAGCACCAAGAGGTGCATAGTGCCAGTACCTCCTTTGAAGGATTGATGACCATATTATTGTAGTTTTACAGAAAAGTGCTTGATATCTCAGGATTGAACACTGAATCTTTTCTATCAACATTTTACCTGTGACTCCCTCTGATGTCAGATCATTGGAGCCGCAATGAATCAATATAAATTGTGGTTTTGGCATTTCCATTAACATCGAGTCCATGAGTTTATCTAAACCATCAAAAACGAGACCTCTGCATCCCTTCCACTTAACTGACATGTTATGCTTTGTAAAACCAAGTTGTGGGTCATCCAGCCTTGCAGTTCTTTCAGCCCAGTGAACAATGGAGGACCCCATGATCCAGAGACATTTATGACCTGAAATAACTTGGGGACAGTTAGTTTTTGGTTGATGTGTTGTAAAGATAGGAGAAAAAGGAAATTATTTAGGGGTTTAACCTGATATAACGAGTGAAAACCTCAGACTTCCAGCGTCCCATGACCTTAATTCTGTCGTCGGGCACCCCAATACTGTGGAGGTATGTTGCTCCACCAATGCGAAAGCTATGTGATCTGACATGATCGGGAGCATCTATAAATTGTAAAGCTTTCTGTAAAAGTGAACAAAATTGATACTTTGTCAGGGGCTTGGTATTGAAGTGGATAAACAGATTATCCCTGTCGGCTGCATGGGACGGTTCTTAAGGTACTTTGATAGACTGTTAACTGGACAATGGATCCCACCATTAGCTTTAATTTGTAATGTGACCGATAGACCTAGCTGATCAGTTTTTGACCATCTAATTTTTAAAAAGACTGTGTTATTAGATAGATGAAACATCACTAACTAACAACTGTTTATGGTTAGACGATATAGTGCTGGGTACTGTGAACTCACTGACTCTTAGCAAACCAAAGAATGCCAAGGAGAAAGCTGCAGTGAACATGACTTGTTCATATTTGTTGCTACATATATATTTTAGACTGTAAATCATTTTATCAAGTAAGGTAAGTGTAATAGGAGCCCTTAAATCATTAACATGCCTCCCTTTTAGGCGGCGTAGGCCCTCAATTGCCTTAATCACTAAGAAGGATTTTGTGGGGTCTGTTAGACTACCCACTTTATGGGCATAACCGATTCCCGACATATAAGTAGAAATTGAAGAGGCGGACAGACCTTGCTGGGCGTAATAAGCAATAAAAAGAAGTAAATCTTTAATAGGGACTGGCCAAGTGTCTGGTAATTGATAGTTATTTCTAAAGTTGGATAACTTTTGAATGCTTGTTGCATAGGTTTTACGGGTAGATGCAGCCACTGAATTAGAAATTAATAGCTGTGCAAGACTATCTAGATGTTCCACAGGTGGGATGGAATCTGTGTGGGTTGCCAGTCTGCCTCTGGCGCTGCCTGTCTGAATCTGGCCCACTGTGAACGAGAAAGTGCATCTGCTATGACGTTTTTTCTAGAAGGGATATAAGTGGCTTTAATAGAGATATTGTGAGTTAGCATAACCAAAACTAGATGTCTAACTAGATTCATAATTCTCTCAGATTTACATGTTTGAGATGAAATGATATGTATCACAGCTTGATTATCTATGTGGAATAATATTTTCTTATTACGAAAAGAATTTGACCAAGTAACAATGGCTGCCACAACTGGAAAAAAACTCTAACAGAGTCATGTCTCTAGTGAGTCCTCCTATAACCCAATGTGAAGGCCATGAGCCCTGTGACCAATGGCCTGCAAAATAGATACCATACCCTCCTGTAACACCACCTGAACTGTCGGTATATATTTCAAGGGTGTTGTCTGAAAGCCAAATAGGGTCAGATATCAAGGTTATTCCATTGTATGACTGGAGGAAATGTAACCAAAGACCTAGGTCTTTACGCATATTGGCAGAAACCCTTATCTTATGATGAGGTTTTATTACACCTATGGTTGCATCAATTAGCCTTCTGCAGAATGCTCGCCCTGGGCAATAACTCTGCAAGCAAAATTCAAAGATCCTAGTAGGGACTGCATGTCCTTGAGGGAAATTTTTTTAGCATTTATTGCTATGATAATTTTTTGTCTAAGATCTACGAGCTTATCATTAGGTAACCGCATTGACATCTGTACAGTATCAAATTCAACCCCCAGGTAAACCAAACATGTAGATGGAGCACATGTTTTGTCAAACGCAATTGGTATATACCAAATTTTTTACAAGTATTTTCAAAAAATTGCAATGTATGTCCAGGTTGAATATGATTAGATGACTCACCAAATAGGAAGTCATCTAGATAATGCAAGATGTTTGAGTTATGACTATTGGCAACTACCACCCAATGTAAAAAGGAAGCAAATTTTTCCCAGAGGGCACAGCTAATTGAAGACCCAAAGGGAAGCATTTTGTCATAAAAATAGTAAGTAACTGGTTTACCTTTTTCTCTGACCATTACTTTAAAACCAAGCAGATCAAAGTCTGCTGGGAAATGGGGAGAAGGCGAAATGCTGACTTTACATCAGATTTGCTAAGTAGGGCACCCTGACCTAATCTGGCAACCATATCTGCCGCTTGATCAATTGTTGAGTACGACACAGAGCAATGATCTTCATCAATATAGTCATTAATAGATCTATTTCTGGGATAAGACAGGTGGTGAATTAGACGGTAGTCACCGCCTTTTTTGGGAACTAAACCAATGGGAGAAATTTGTAATGTTGGAAATGGGATTCTGAGAAATGGGCCTGCTACCCTACCAACTTGTATTTCTTTAAATTATTTTTGTATGCAGGACCCCTGGGAGTTCCCTGGCACTGCGTAAATTTGGAGAGTCTCTGTGTACCGGGGGCCCTCGTATTGTAAGGGAAAACCTTTTGATATGCCTGTGATAAGGTCTTTTGCTGCACTAAATGGGTAAAGTTTTCAAAGCTTTTAGTAATTCAGTGATATTTAATGGTGTATTGCCGATCTGATAAAGAGGTGAGGTACTATTGACCAGTGTGGCATACTGTCTGTGCATGTTTTCCTCCGCATAGCCTGCAGACATGACTGTACCTACAAGGAGTAAAAGGACAATGACTACCAGAATTGAAGTAATTACATGAAAATGACTTAGGACTGGAGGTACGTTGTTTATTAAACTTAACTGCAGGGGTGCCCGTAATTTGAGATGTTGTTTTACTATTATAGGCAGTACTCCTGGTTTGACCTGCAAAATCAGGTACTCTAGGTGATTGACCATTTACATAGAGCAACCAAAGTTCTAAATCAATGGTGCCCCAAGACCTAGATGGGTTGTTTGATTGGACCTGGCGGAATTGTTCATCATATTTCCACCAGGAGTCTGATCTTGTTGCTGCTAAGCGTACATCCCGGAGGTATTTTAACAGCTCCTGGGATCTGTTGGGAAACCTTTCCAGGTAAATACTAATAAAAACGATGAATGCCGATGTCCATTGTTCAATAGACATTTTGAAATTTGACCCCCTTGGCTTTGTGACGCATAACCTCCCGTTTCTAAACTGCAGTTCCCCAATTTGACCCTCTTCAGAATACTCTTGAAGCTGGCGGGATGACTTTAGAAGAAGTGCCAGGTCGGTAAATTCTCCAGCCCAAATTTTTTCTTTTATTTTTACAGGAATAGTACTTCCTAAACTATGAAAATTTTCATCAATGTTTACAGGATTTGATAGTTGAGTTGGCGAGTTATGAACCATTACTGAATCAAAGGGTTGATAATCTAATGAGGGTGGCGATGGAAATGAAACATACGGCCGGGTACCTTGTAATGGTGATTCCCGCGCTTCTACATCGCCGCCTCCCTGACTGGCACTGTTAACCGGTGTTTCCACCAAACCGCCTTGGGATTGTCTGCTGCGTTTAGGCCTATTCTCATTCGCATCTGTCCCGCTCCTTTTCTTGGTTTTACTTTTTGGCATTATTTTATTCTTTTTATTTTAACTTTTTCGGTGCGTTTTTGAAGGACACTCTGTTTCGGAAAGTTCCCGGATAATGATTCGCCTCCTTTGAAGAGTATCTTAGTATGTCTAAATTCCGTACTTTACTTTACCGGATTAAACTGCACCTACCCACCCGCTAGATGATGTGTTTAAGAAGGATTATCGAATACGAGATTCTGGATAATCCCTATTATTTAAAGAAAAAAATTTATTTCATGTTACACTCTTGCAAATTTTTAATATTAATTTAAGACAAATTTGTTGTCAGGCAAATTTAAACGTATTCAGACAAATTTTATTATCACATTTGACCAAGTTTACATTCATGCAAACTTAAGAGGCAAGGTAGTTTTAAGGTGTGGGGCATAATTCTGGAAGCTATATTTTTGGAGTCATGCCCCTTTTTTGTTTTGAAATTTTGTCAAAAGTAGTTATTTTAACAGATGAGCATTAACACTGCATGTGGTGCCCCTATTTAAGACAAATTTGTTTTCAAGCAAAACTGACTATTTATTTAAGCAAAGAGGATTTCTCACAAATGATTAAAAGTTAATTTTAAGACCATTTTAGGTTCAACAAATATGAATCTAAAGGTACATTATGCCTCAATAATAAATATTTCTTTATGCTTCAGAAATGTCAAACATGTGTGTAGTAATGTAAAAATATAAGAAATGAGAAATGAAAATTATCATAGTAATTTGGATGCATAATGTTCCTTTAAGGCAAACCAGCAGTTGGGCAAATCTAGGCATTGATTAAGGTAAAACTGCTGGAAATCAGGTTAGTCTGAATATATTTAAAACTCAATCCTTCACACAGATATGTTAATTATTGTATTGTATACATGTACTCATAGACAAGAGGTGCATCATTAAATGGTGATGTATTTACTTTGAGTGTCCTCATTTTAAATTTCTTAGTTTTGCAATCAAATTTAGTGGCATCCCGAGATGTTTCCAAAGGCATCCAGAGTTGCTTCTAATTTACAGTGAATTAACTTAATTTCTTTGGCATGAAATTTCGTGGTTTACTCGCAAAGAACATTTTTGTTGAATTTTAAATTCATGGACTGATTTATTTTTCCAAAAGGTAAAATGTAAATAAATATGATGCAAAATAATCTTACAGCAGACAATAAGAAATTTTGTGGATCTTAGCATCCTGGATTGACCTATCGGAGAAAAATACGAAAATTAGTTCACCACGAATAGTTATGATTTTACAGTATGTGGCAATTGGGACAAACTAGCAGTCAGGAAAATTCAATGCTTGAATTTATTTTGTGAAATTGGCATAATTTATGCAGATCCTATATTTTTTTCTTTCAGTTTAGATGATGACATATTAGAAACAGAAGAAGGGAATTTATCAGCTGTTACTCGTATACAACATATTGCAGACAATATTCTGATCAATGAGTCGGGCAAACTTTTATTTCTCGTCGAGTTACTTGACAGATTGAAGGTGGAGGGTCATCGGTGCCTGGTCTTCTCACAGTCACGTAAAATGTTAGATATCATGCAAAAAGTCATAACAAACAGGGTAAGAGACTGAGAAACTAAATTGATTGCCATATCCTTTAGCCTGTCATATTTGTTTAATGGATTTGCCGTGCTTTGAATTTGGAAAAATCCATTCAGATTTTAAGGGAATACAAAAATTGTGTTAACAGTACTATAAAGTCTTTCAGACTGCACAGGGGCAAGGGCTGGTCACTTTTGATTCCAGCAGGTTATGGGTCTATAATCTTTTATGGTAATCTTAATATAACTTTAGTTTAGTTTATACTTATTTATTTTAGTTTGATTGTGTTTGAAGCTATAAGCTTATTGAAACACTCTTGAATCATTCCTGGAACCAACCAGTAGTAAGCAATGAGTGTAAAGTTTCTTGCTCATGAAAACAACAGCTTGCACCTGATGGGGTTTGAACCCATATAGCCACCAATCCTTAGATTACAAGTCCGACATGTTAACCACTCTGCCACTCCGCCACTCAAACTCATGTGTTTAATTTGTGAAACAGTTGATTTTAATGTTCTTTTAACTTGTAAAACAGTTGTTTATTTTATTTATGTTTTTTGTATGCATGTGTTTAATTTGTGAAACAGTTTATTTTAATGTTCTTTTAACTTGTAAAACAGTTGATTTTAGTGTTCTTTTAATTTTTGAAACAGTTCATTTTATTTATGTTTTTTGTATGCATGTGTTTAATATGTGAAACAGTTGATTTTAATGTTCTTTTAACTTGTAAAACAGTTAATTTTAGTGTTCTTTGTATGCATGTGTTAATTTTGTAAAACAGTTGATTTTAGTTTTCTTCACATGCATGTTCTTGATATTGGATATCAGTTGATTTAATTATTTTCTTGCTATGTTTGTAAACAGTCAATTTAATTTTTTCCCATGAATGTGTTGAAATTGTGAAACAGTCAGCATTTTACTTGATTTACAGTAATTAAAACATTACATTGCAAACAGCACTTTCAATTTATGTAAGTTTCCAAGTAATTGTCAAAAAAAAATGCAAAAAAAGCCCTTATTGTGGTAGTCATGCAGTAGAAATATGGGATAAATACTGCAAAATCAGTTATTCATTGCATATAACATGCATATTGTTACTTGTATTGTAATTATTTTTTATTTTTCTTAAAATCTTAGTACATTTTTCTTAAGCTTGATTTTCTTGGCTCATCTGGAGGCATGCAGGTTTCAGTGTATAAGTATGAAGTAATACATTTGTTCTGATATGTTAAAAGGGTCATAAGTTGATGAGATTGGATGGAACAATAGCTCATGTACAAGAGAGAGAAAACAGAATACAGAAATTCCAGACTGATTCCTCGTACAGTGTTTTCCTACTCACTACGCAGGTATTTATAGCTTTACTTCAAACACACATGCTCTTAATGTCTCAGAAATTGAAACACATGTTTTTAATAATAATAATATGTATTATATATAGTTTTATTGAAATGATGATGGAAATAATAATAATTCTTTTACAGAAGCAACACACTTTAGCATTATTTGCCACTTTCAAATGTGTAGACTTACAAGTAGAAGATTGATTAAATATGAAATTATTCAGCAATGAATTTTACATGAATTTAATCTGGCAGGAAGGAATACTTAACAAAGTGCTACTGAGTCTGCCAGTTCTTTTTAGGCAAGGGGCATAATTCTGAAAGCTATATATTTAGAGTTATGTTTTAATCTTACAATTTTTGTTGAAATTGTTACCCTTAATGAACGTGTGCTCTTGTATTAAAGTGGCATTTATTTATGTATATCAATACATTTACAATAACTATAGCCAGTTTTTTTTTAAATTGTGTATTTTATTATATTTATACAGGTTGGTGGGGTTGGCCTTACACTGACAGCTGCAGATAGAGTGGTTATTTGTATGTCATTTTATAAAACCTATTCTTAAAGTTTTTTTGTCTCCATTTTGAGTCTTATAAGATGGAAAAAAAGTTACATAAGCTAGATAAGTTTATATGATGTTTAAACATTACCCTACTGAAATGCAAAGTGATACTGGTAAGCCTTTGCTACTGGTAAAGGGCCAAGCCAGTTTGTTCATCCATGCACTATACTGTTGGTAACTCTGTTATTGTATCTAGGTTCTGAAATACTTAAAGGGACTCCACTGAGGTTTTTTGTCATGATTGAACTGAAAATATTTTTTCCAGATGAAAGTACCATTTGATTTAGGTTAAGAACACTAATCTTTGTGCAAAATTTCAGATCATTTGCGCACTTCATCTTTCCAGAATAATTATTCAAATTGTAAAAACATTACCCAAAATGAAAAGCGTTTAAACGTTTTTCACTCAAATTGGGCTAAGAAAAGCATAAAAATACGATTTTTAATTTATTTCAAAGTATATTTCTTAACTATCTTTGCATTTAGTTCTGTTTTAAGTGCCTCAGCTCATGTATGTAAGAAATTAAAATGTTATGTTTTTAGGCTTTTTAACCTCAGTGGAGTCCCTTTAAACTTTGAATTGAGTGATCATTCAAAGCTGGACTAAACCATTACAAAAATTTAGTAGGCTAAATGTTAATATAACATTTGAACAGGTAGTTTTTGATAAACTCTTTATATAGTACGCATGCGCATGGTTAAACAAGTAAATATTGTGTTGTGATATAAACAATGGATTAACTGTGTTTCTAAACGTTATATTGGAATAAAAGTGTATTTATTGTGTTCTGGAATATATACAGCAATCAAGGTTTGCTTATAAGCTTGGCTGGAATTGTGGTTTTTGACTTAGAACTTTTTCCGTGTATTATATAAGGGTGGGGTATGGACACAGAAAATCTTCAAATTTCCCACCTCCCCGATCAGTAAATTCGTCACGCATGATTTGATTTACAAAAAGTGCT